TTTTTGTTACCTTATGAAGAAGGTATTTGGTGGATTTGACTTGGATTATAAGATCATTCAATAAATCAGAAGACACAGACCTTCAATTTTGATAAAAGATCAGAAATTAACTGACAAATCAGAGAGAGAGAGAGATGACAAATCAAAGAGATGATTCTTCTTACCTTACTGCTTCCACAGTGTAGAATGTGTCAGGTCGGAATCCTAATTCMATGAACTTCATTTCCGGTACTAAAAGAAAGTAGCCGGAGAAGTCGGATCCGGTTTGTCGGAAAAATTAGATTCTGGGTTTGGTCGAAATCGGGAATTGGATGTTTGTCGGAACAGAATCAGTCGTCAGTTTCGGTCTGATATTTGTAATAATCAGAGAGATTCCAGATGGTCTCCGGCGGAATTACGGCCGGAGACTTGTGAAAATCGCCGGAAATCAAACAGAAGAGACCGGTTGAGTGAGCTCAACGGCGAGAAGAGAACGGAAAATAAAAAGCTCCGATTTGAACAAAAAGAAAGCAGTTTTATTGTTTTCTCTGGAAATCGACTGTGTAAAATGAGAGAGTGTAGAAACAAGAATCTGTTATACACAAACTTATATATGAACGGTTTTGTAATAAAATAAGATAAAAATTTTGCAGATGTAATTTTTTAAGGTTAGAGATTACCTAGAGAAATCATTATTAGCTTTTGTCGCAGCACCTGAGAACTTTCGTATAATCAATTTTAGCAGAAAGCACAAAAGTACGGTTCACAAGATATAATATTTATTAAAAATTTACAGAACAAATAAAAAGCTAAAGTAAGAGTAGTCGATAATGGTGACACAAAGTATAAAGAGCAATTTCAACATTAATCCACCCGATCCCATCAGAACTCCGGTGTTTGGACGAGAGTGATCCAACTTGTTGTAAAACCACATAAAACAATTTTGGCTAATTGATTAATTATTAAAAATTTATGGCTTATGGAGGAAATTAACTTTTATTTTATTATATTATTTGGAACAAATGATACCAAAGTGTATTTAACATTTTAAAATGATAAATTTTGGTTGATAGTATATTTCATTATAGTTCTATGATTCAAAATATCATTTTCTAATTGATCGTTTTAAATTTCATACGAAATTTGTTGAAGATTTGAAATATAACGAAGACATATCTTTTTGATAAGAAGTTGAATGATGCATTTTAGAAAAATAAAACTTCTATAAAAAAAAAGCAAATGAAGGCTTTCATAAAAATTCTCGTATAATAAAAAATGAAACTTTCAATCCGTGTTTTTGGCGTAGTGAATCCTTTCTTCCATGATTAATTGTTGGCATCGACACTACATTTTGTATTCAATTTAATATAAAAATTATGAATTTTATAAACTACCATGGGCTTACTTTTGTAAAACTACCATTGAAATTTTAAATACCACAATTTTTAATTTTAAGAAAAGTTAGAAACCCAACTTTACAATATCTTAATTTTGAAAATTATGATACTTCTGACAAATAAATTTTTTATATATTTTTATAATGAAGAAGTTCTAAACTGAGATTCGTACATCTTTATACCCGGATTTGAACATATAACATTATATAAAAAACTACATATTATTATTTTCTGAAAGTGACACTCTTACATTATTTCATCATTTTCCTATCTATATTCTTTTTGCCAACCATTCCTTTACTGTCTATATATCTCAGCATTTAGCATGATTGCCTTGAACTTTTTCCCTTTAAATATCATGGAAATATTTATTTATGTTCGACTGATATTATGAAATATGAATCTAGGTTATGTATATCTCCTTCCTTTTACGATCTAATAGGTTTATTGGAGACCCCATCTAATAAAACTATTTTCTTTTCTTTATCATTATCACTCTCTTTCTCGTAGTCATCTGTACGAACTCGGGATATAAATAATTTTGATGATGATGATGACTGTATCTTACATGATGAAAACATTGAAAAGTATGATATGTTATTTAATCGAAAGAAAAAGCCTTTATCTTTTGAACTCGATAGCAAAGCATGACATGTGGTGTGTAGGTAGATAAATTTCACATATTCATGGA